TTTCTTTAGGGAAAATATATATTACTCCTTACCATTGAATTGAATGTTTTAGTTATCTACAATCTTTTCTTTGCTCTAGGCATTCCTGGCATCATCTATTAGAATTGGGTAGAATCAAAGAAAAGTTGATGATATAATCTGCTTTTCTCTATACCTTGAATAATATACATAGAAATTTTATGAAGGATTTTTAACACTTATAATCTAATGATTAGCATAGACAATTAGAATAGTTATGTTTACTTTTCGTTTTGATGAAAGTAATTTCTGACATATTTATAGCTGTATTAAAACAGTTCTCTTTCCTTGTCTATATATGGGCCTTTATGTGACCTATATGTATATTAATATTTCAGAGGAACATTATTTTTAGTATCTTTGGAGACCCCTTAAAATTAAGAAGATCCTGAATTTAGTATTTTATTTTAGTGTATTGAAACTTAGCTAATCTTTAATAAAGTTGACTTCATAATTTTAACTACCATATTTATTAAATCATTCTGGCTGGGAATTTTCTTCAGCTTTCTACTGGAAAGACTGTTTTTAGCATAAGTAACACTGTTCTTAGACAGGCTTTGATCCTTCCATAGCTGGTTCTGTTATATCAGAAACAATAGTAAGAATGGAAAATATTGAGAATAGTAATTAGCTTTACTCATATTTTGGTTTATCATTTTATTAGTTCTAAAACTGTGAAAACTTTTATAGTGTTATCTTTTTATAATTGCATTTTCTTGATATTGTACAAGTTGATCGTTTCTTAACGTTAAAATGTATCCTTACATTTTCTTATTTTTTAAACTTTATATTTTAAATTTACTCATTAAATGGGTAAAATGTAGAACCATAGGAATCACTAACATAATTAGTGCCTAATATTAAGTTTTGACATTGGTGGAATTAAGTTTGGATGAATAATATGAAGTAACTATTTTTTTTTATCTCATAGGACTAGTTATTTCTGAATTTGGAATTTAGAATCATATTTTAATTATTACTCTTCTTCCTCTAACTACATAAAATACTGTTTTGATCTCACCTTCCCCAAAGGCCACATAAATACAGTTGTCAATATGTTAAGGATGTAAGCCAGGGTAGATAATTTGGACATGTAACATGCGATATATTACATTTAAATATGTTAAATGACCATTGAAAGTATTTTAATAAGATTCAGTCAAGGCTAGGCACAGTGGCTCACGCCTGTAATCCCAGCACTTTGGGAGGCCAAGGCGTTAGGGTTGCTTGAGACTGGGAGATTGAGACCAGCCTGTGCAACATAGTGAGACTCCATTTCTATTAACAACAGCAACAAAAAGTTTAAGCCAAATAAATTAATACCCTTTTTTATTCCCAAGCCAGCCTTTCAAAAGGTGGGTACATGTAGCAATTTAAAATAACTAAACAAGAGGTAACTGTAGAAAAGTTTCTAAGTATTTTTACATCTAAATATATAAATATAAAAAGTACAAAAAGGTAAAAACCCTCCAAATTCTCTCTTCCTCAAACCAGAGAATCTCAAACATGGTTTGGCATTTTCAAATATATTTTGCTCTTTGGTCCATAGGAAAAGACAGAATAGTTTTAACATACAGAAATTTGTATGACACGAGATATTTTGTTGTTTCTATCTCAGTGCATTTGAAGTGCAAAGTGAAAATTGCGACCTCAAAAAATCATTGATGAATCATTTATTCTTATCTTTAGATATAGAACTCTTTACTTAGTCTTTGGTTATGCTCTGAAAAATACAAGAATTCTCTGAGGAATTATATCCATTCCTACATACCAGGAAAGACTGCTTTATAAAAAGTCAAACTTTAGTAATCAGTAGTTG